GCTTTGAGTATCCGTATAGACATGGAGGGGGAATGTTGGCTCGAAAACTGTGTCCAAGATGTGTGCGAGAGAGAAAGGTAGACTAGTAATAATCGTCCTCTCTGCGCATGTGTCGACATTCGACAGATAGAGAGGACGAAGTATCACGGGTATCACTCGTATATCTTTCTCTCTCGCATTCCTTGCCACTCTGCACACTTGCGGCCTATAGAGAACAGCATTCCACCTCCATGTATTATATACTCAAAGGCCCTTTCGGCTATCGCCTTTCAGTATTATTATAGTTCAGGGCGAGAGGATCCTGAGAGCGGTCATGCCCGCGATTTAGCTGCGATGGCGATTGAGCTGAATGAGAAGCACGCGTTGGACGGAAAGCGTGCTTCTTATTGGTCTCTCTAGTTGGTAGTTCAATGTCCACTTTCCAGAGGCGCTGAAACCAGCTCAGTCGCCATCACAGCTAAATCGCGGGCATGACCGCTCTTAGGATTCTCTCTGGTTCAGGTGGTCTGTGATTTTACATTTTTAAGAAGTACGTAGGTAATAAAAAATACATTATAAATGTTTGCTTTTTTTGTGATTTTTTTTAGATTCTCTATAATATGAATAACCATTAAATAAAGTATTGAATTATAGTTTGCACTTTTAAGTATAGATTAATTAAATATTGTTACGAATTACAATAGGTTACAACTTACAGTTACAACAAGTTAATGAAGTTGAAAGGAATATAACAATTATAACAATGTATTTTTTAAACAAGAAAAAAAATACCTACAAGATAACAAAAAGGAAAACTAAAGGATGGATAATATGTAGCAGTAAAGTATAGAATTTCAATTTTATATTTGTTTATTTGTTTACAATAATTATAGTTAATTTATAATTATCACTTTAAGACAAGTATACGCATCTCAAGGAAATTGCAAGAAATCTGATGAATGATTTACCAAAAATATATTTAAAACGAATAGATTTTACAAATGCTACTTCAAGTTCTATCAAAAGTAGTAATAATGGTAAATATTTTTTATTTACTTTATATATTTGTATATATGTATATGTATATCTCACTTTTATATCTTTTTTAAAAACATATTTAATTTTATAGATAATAATTTGATAAAAAGTGACATTTTAAATGAATTTAAAGAAGAAAGAAGTAGTCAGCAAGGTAATACTTAATTAATTATATGAATTATATAAATCAATTCTTTTTTCATGAACATTGGGAAGTTTACTTTTAAATTTTCATAAAAGTTAATTCAGTTATTGGTTATCCATTTGTAATAATTATATAATTTTTCTTTTAGACATTCAACTAAGTATATCTAAAACTACTATTTGTGATATATCTTTTGAATCACTGAATGACAAAATAGCTGATAATACCAACATAACTTATTTAAATATTTTATATTTGCATAATATGAAATAATTCTATATATTCAAATATATATTCAAATACTTTATTTTTGTTTTAAATAATGACAGTATTAATTTAACAAGTATATTGGAAGAATTTTTGGAAACTTCAAGTTAACAGGAAATGATTAATAAACCAAGTAAAGAAATCTATTTATTTGTATCTAGATTACAGAATCATAATTTTTCAATTAGTTTATTTAATTCCCAGACACAGAGAAAAGAATTTATTAGTATATTCAGTTTTGTCATCAATTCTGAATTCATTTTCAGGTGCAAAAAGAATCCCTTTTAGAAAAAGAATTCTTTTTGCATCTGAAAATGAACTCAGAATTAGTGACATATAACTGACAATTAGTTCTTTTTTCATTCTCTGTGCTAATATTATCAAATATTTAATTTGCAAGCAAATTTATTGAATGAATTTTCACAAGTTTGATTTATTCTTCAGATTTTAATATTAGTTTATAAGCAAAGTTTGGGAAGAGTCTTTAAATATTCCAATGGCAGAAATAAATGATCAAGATGATAAAGTATAATTTAATTGTTATTTAAGTAATCTAAGATATGTGTCAAATAATTTATGTCTGTGTAACAAATATATTTCTAATTAAATAATTATATATATGCATGTTTATAAGTATATATGCAGCAATGTAATCAATTCTTTTTTTAGAGAGTACTTTGTCTAATACTGGAGACTTGGTTATGTCTTTCGAGATATCAGATGAAAAACTTGATTTTGGTAATTTAAACAATTGTTATATAAATATTATATTAATATACAAAATCAATGAGAAATGTCTTTTATGAATAGTTTTTTTGTAATATGAATTGTAATAATACAAATAACATAACTTAAAATATTTTATATTTGCATAATATGAAATAATTCTACATATTCAAATACTTTATTTTTATTTTAGATAATGACAGTATTAATTCAACAAGTATACCTTTGGAAGAATCTTTGGAAACTTCAAGTCAACAGAAAATAGTTAATGAACCAAGTAAAGAAATCCATTTATAGTTATATCTAGATTACAGAATCAAAATTTTTCAGTTAGTTTGTTTAATTAATATTATCCAAATTTTTTATTATAAATTTTTTCACAAATTTGATTTATTCTTCAGATTTAAATATTAGTTTTCCTGTAAGCGAAGTTTGGAAAGGGTCTTTAAATACTCCAATGGCAGAAATAGATGATCAAGATGGTAAAGTATAATTTAATTCTTATTTAAGTAATCTAAGATATATGCCAAATAATTTGTTTGCGTAACAAATATATTTGTTAAATAATATATACAAGGTGTCTGGTATTCAATGGTACAGCGCTCGTGGACAGGTAGTGTGGACCGAACTGAACAAAAAAGTCTTCTACCATTTTGGATGGGCAGCGTGCGGAGGAGGTGAGCCGTGGCATTGATAAGCATGCAATTACCGCCACTCTGCGCCGTGCGCTATGCGATCGGGTAGTGGCGTTAAATCAATTACCCCCATCACTGCGTCGCTCACTAAGCGCGCGGGAGAGGTGCTCGCGGTTCGCGGCGGCGAGCATATATCTCGCCGCGCGTTCAGATTCAACGAGCTTTATATATTAATATTTCGAAAACTATTGCGAAGATCGCAAAACGGTAGAGGACTTTTTGTTCAGTTTGGTCCATACTACCTGCCCACGAGCGCTGTATCATTGAGTATCAGACATCTTATGCATATATATATTTTTTAAATATAATAAATATTAGCAGCAATGTAATCAATTCTTTTTTTAGAGAGTACTTTATCTAATACTGGAGACCTGGTTATGTCTTTTGAGATATCAGATGAAAAACTTGATTTTGGTAATTTAAATAATTTGTTACATGAATATTATATTAAGAGGATGCTGAAGTTCTGTTTTATCAACTAAAATTTGATCAAGATTTGCACAAGATCGAAAACAGGCATCTCTTAATTTCTTCTCTAACTTCTTACAATATCTCTTGTCTTATTCAAACACGTGCAATGTCCTTATCTAACTTATTGAAACGCTATCTCTTGGAAAATCCGGCACTTACTGCCAGACGCAATTTTTGCTGTCTTTACCTTACTTTAATGGATATTTGTTTTTCTACGCTTCCAATCGTAGCTCAAAAGGTCTTATTCGTGCAAGTAATCCGATGCACGCAAGCTTATTAATTATTTTGTACATATAAACTACAGAACTTTTGTACCAATGAAATGTTTACGTCAGGTGACAGGTTATGGCTACGGTCCATTTGATGCTGCAAATCCTTTGGAGCATTTTTTGATTGCTCAATTAGTAAACATTTTTTCTTCTGATTGGTCAATCAAGTGCTTCGAAGCATTTGTAGCGTCAAGTGGACCGCACCCTATGATAGGTAATTTTTTAATATTTTTTTCTTTTTTACTACAAATTTATGGCTAGCGCGCTTACATTTTATGTTTATTTTAATCCTGTAAAAGCGTTTTTGAATCCGTTTAGTCGTTTTGGAGTTATCCATTAGAATGCAAATGTCGGTCGGTATTCAGCATCCTTTTAATATACATAATCAATAAGAAATATCTTTTATGAATAGTTTTTTGTTTAAAAAATTGTCATTAATTAGTAGTTGATCTAATATGATTTATTTTCATAAGTGGTGAGAAATGTTAGGAATTCCAAGTAAAGATAAAATTAATAAAGTATTAATTTTATATCTTGATTTCAATAAATTTCTTCTATAACTTAATGGATTTGTTAGAAATAATTATAGTCAAAAGCTTTCGATAAAATAATGCCCTTTTGATAATAGTATGTATACTCTCATAACAATTGGTTCATTTATATTTTTAATTTTCTCTTGTATCTTTGATATATTAATAATATTGCTGATATATATATATATATATATATATATATATATATATATAATATATAAGGAATAAATTGTTCATTGTTTTATAAATAATACACTAAATAAAGCGACGGTTTGAATTTACTCTTTTACTTTGTAGAAAGTGTGTTTGTCAAAGTGTATGCTATGTAATCACTAACCATATGTGTTTAACACATTGAATGCTGGATCTAATTCGCTTGTCTCTCCGGCGTCGACGCCAGAGAAATTTTCTTGAGGAAATCATTATTTTCTAATTTTACATTTTCTTTTTTACATTTGTTCTAATCATCTTTACCTCATCTTTGAATAATCAATGTACCGAGAAAAATACAGTTCCGATAAATTTCTGAGCGACCGTTTCGAAGACTAACTCTATATCCGTTGCAAGACGAGACACATTTATTCCTGCATGTAAACCAAATTCCGACATCGATCAGTCAACGTATGGGGCTGAATACGCAAACACGGAAATTCTTTTGCAACAAGAGGTCGATGGGTGTACGGGACGGAAAATTAGGCAAGTGTGTCGCTTTCGAGCGTCTACTTCTAGATATCACTGGTTTTTCCGTTCTTTTACTCGAAGAAAAGAACAATTATCTCACATGAACATTTATTTCCGCGTGACCAATTTTCTAAAGTTACTTGTAACATCGGACGATAAAGACCACATTACACAGATTGCATCCTGCAAATAAGTTCGTATTTTGCATATAGGAAGATAACAAGAAATTATTTTGAAAATTTATTGCCGATTAAATTTATTTTTCCGTATGTTTATTTTTTAAATAAAATTTATGAAAAAGTAAG